GTGCCTCCCTCTGCTTTCCCTTTAGGCTGTTCCACCAATGCTTGCTGCAGGTGGAAATCACCACTGTGCTAGCATTTAGATCCAGGAATCGCCTCTGGACATTAGCTGAGGTGTGGGAGGAAAACAGGGTCAAAGGTCACCTATGCAAATGAAAGTACAAGCTGTGTTGTAAGAAAGAGGGGTGTGTGTGTGTGTGTGTGTGTGTGTGTGTGTGTGTGATAATAAGCTTGCACAGAGACAGTTATTATCATCATTATTTTATGGTATGTGTATAGGTGTTCTGCATGCATGTCTGCACTTGTGTGTCTGGCACTTACGGAGGCCAGAAGAGGGTGTCAAATCCCTTGGTACTGGAGTAACAGTAGGGATCCACCATGTAGGGAGCCTCCATATAGGTGATGGGAATTGAAACTTGGTCCTCTGAAAAGCAGGAAGCACTCTTAACCACCTAGCCATCTCTCCAGCACCCTCTATGACAGGTATTTTTGAAGCCTGTCATTGTTTCATATTAACAATGTCGACACACTCAAATCAAACAGGGGTTTGTGCAGATGTGCATGATGACAGCCTTCTGCCCGGCATCTTCCCCTCTCTCTGCTCTTGCTTCTTGAGACTCATCGTTTCTCATCCTTTTGAAGGGGAAAGCAGCGCTGGGTAGTCATAACCAGGTCCATCACCAAATGACAGTGAACACAGCTCATGCCCTCATTTGTCATATACTACAATTAATTAGCATCTATTAACAATTTACATTATGCAAACAAGTCGCCATCTTCACATTCATTTAGGAACCAAAGGTCATGTTTGAACATCCAGGCCTGTCCGAAGCCAGCTGCAATGAATACTGCAGCCCAGCAGTGCCCATGGAACCTCTCACCTCCCCAGGGCTTTGCTTGCTGTGATTTTCCTCAAATGATGAACTAGGCAAGCTATTTGATACCTTTCATGTCCTCAAAGTGTCCCATAGAGTTAAGTTCCAACTAGCTCACTTAGACAATTGGGTTTGCAATGAACTTTTCATGACACATGGGGAGAAGGCTTTTCAGCCACAACCAGGAAAACAGTTGTAACTGTGGCTGCGGGGAGAAATACTGGAAACAGCTCTTCCAGCCTGCAGCAGGCAGTGATCATCTCTGTGGAGCCTGCTGGACATCTCTGTGGTGAGTGCCCTTTTGTAGGTGACTCTAGCTCTCCCGTCTGTCTCTGTCTCCCTGGAAGGAGCTCCCTCTGGCTGTGATTCCTTCTACCACTCTGCAGGTCCTCAGCATTTCAAACAGGCTTGAGAACTGAACAGCTCACCAAGATTTTAAAATAAAGCAGAGGGATGGGTAAGGCAGATTAGCAGGTAAAGATGCCTGCAGCCAAGCCCAGGGACCCAAGTTCAATTCCCAAGACCCATGTAGTGGGAGGAGAGAAGCAACTCCTGAAAGGGGTCCCCTGGTTATACATGTACACTGCCATACAACAAACAGACAAACAAATAAATAAACATGTAATTTCAAAAACAACAACAAAAGAATAAGAAAATTGCTATCTTTGTGAATACATTGCATAAAGGGGTGGGAGGAGAATTTTCACCCCTTATTGTTTGCCTGGCATTAATCAAGACTTACCCTCTGAGTAGACAAGTTTCTAATCAACTGCTCATTGACCTCAAAGTTTTAGCAGCAGCATCATTCTTCTTTGGTGGGAGATCTGCTGCTTTCTGCTGTTTGCAAGGCAGGAAATCTGTACTGTGTGGAACTCACAGCGAAGTAAAAGCAATTCCCTGCCGTTGCTGCTTTTCAGCCAGCCACCTCTGGCTGTCAACCTACCCCTAACTTCCTTTGATCCACCCAGGGTGTGACTCTTCCTTTGGCCTCTATTCTACTCAGAGCTCCTGTACCCTGAGAACCGAGGTTCACATACCTCCAGCCAAATACTTTCTCACAAGAATTAATAAAACAGCTTAGAAAGATCTTACAGGATACAAAAAATATATAAAAAATGGCATTCTGGTAATAGAAAACTGGATGTAAAATAATAGCATGCTGTAAACTAGAGTTTGCTGTTGTAAACATCAGGAGACCTAAACATACACTGATTACTAATCAACACATAAATTTAGGGCCAGTGAGATGGCTCAGTGGGCAAAGGCACTTGCCACCAAGCAGGACAACCCGAGTTCAAGCCCCAGACCCCAGAAGTTGGAAGAGAGAACCTTCAAGTTGTTTCGAGCTCCACACAAGCACTGTGGCACACAATCATAGACACACACATATCACACAAGTGCACAGGTGTGCGTCAAAGTGACTTGAAGATGCCAGGCCAGTCCTTTCAACAGGTAGTTCAAACAATTAGACACTGAAATGCAATGAATGAATCTCGGCCCAGGCCTTGCTATTACCAAGGGAAACTCAAATTCAAACTGCACAAGATAACATACTTGTGACCTTATTTTAGGCAAAGACATTTTTAGACATGTGGACAAAATAAACAAATTTGGCTAGCAAACAAAACAAAACAACAATGCCCCCATTCTACAGGCTGGCAGAAAACATTTACAAAACATTTTGTCTGAGGAACGAGGTATTTATAACAACAGCATCCTCCAAACTCAACAATAAACATTATTATTCAGTTAAGAATGAGAAACAGATTGAATAGATATTTTTGCAGGAGAAGATAGGTTGGTGAAACATGGAAAGATGTCTAGTTTTACTGGTCACTAAGAAAATGAACATTAAAAGTCACAATGTAATGGTAGCCAGACATGTTAAAATGTTCCTGAGTAAAACAAAAACATATAACAAAGGGCCACATAACTGGACCCCTCATATGCTATTGGGAATACAAAATAACAGTCACTTGAAGTGGTTACTGCCTCTTCGTTAAGACAGATTTGTCATGAGCCACCCCCCCAACAAAGCCCCTTTCCTAAGATTTTAGTGAAAAGAAATACACATTATGCTCAAAAAAAAAAAAAAAAACCATGTATATCAATGTTCAAGTACCTTTAGAGACTCACATTGGGAACCCTGAAAGTCTGTTTGTACAACGGAAAGGATTATATTTTTGAAATGGAAAGTAACACAAATTAATCTTAAGAACATTGCACCAAGGAAAAGGAGCCAGGCAAAACAGCCACACACTGTTCCATGCCATATCTGTGATACCCCATGGAACCAAAACTGCAGGCACAGAAAACAAATCTGTAGTCCCCAGGGTTTGGGAGTAGGGGGACATGGAGGCCGAAGAGGAAGTGGGGGCTTCAGGAGCAGCAGATGGAGCTTTCCCAAACCTTGATCACAGATTAGTACTAGTCCATTTGGAATATGTGTATGTACATGTATAAGTATAATGCTATAAACACGCCATTTCACAGAAAACAAATTTAGAAGGCTTTAGTGGGAAAAGATCGCAAAATGTAATTTTAAAAATAGCATTTTTTTTTTTTTAATACCAGCCAACAGGAATATACTCAACACCAAGAGGAAGAACAGCCTGAGGCACTAATTGGATTGTACTGTGTGGAATGAGCCTTTTCCAGAAGGGTCTGTTCATGCTGCAGGTATGCCTCTGGAAGGAGAAGAGGAAACACTGCTCTTTCAAGTCAAAACATTTAAAGAACCATAAGGACATTATCCGTTCACCTCACAGGCTCTCACAGAGACGGATTGTGGTGTGCTTATTTGTTTTCTAGCCTAAATGGCCAGTATTCAAATCTATCTCCCCACGCCCCCCACCCCCTGTACCTGTGTCATAGTGCATGTATGGAGGTCAGAGGACAACTTTTGGGAGTTGGTCCTCTGTTCCCAACATGTGGGTCCCAGGAATCGAACTCTGGTAGTTATGCTTGTCAGCAAGTGCATTTAACCTGTTTAGCCAGCCAGGCCCCAAGTTTATGACTCAAAGAGTTCTTTCTCTTTTAACTGACAGGATTGATACTTCAAACTTAAGCAGATACATAGTATTGTTTTTGGGAAAGCAGAGGCTATTCATTAACAGATCTACTTTTTTGTCATATAGGAAACAGGGAGTGAGCAGCTCTGAACACAAAAACAGATATGGTGGATCCGGCAAGCCTAAGATCACTGTGCGCATTGTTAGCTTCCTCTTAAACAGTCATATGTATCAAATGCAGGACACACAAGAGAGAGCAGTGGACTGAGGGTCACATGTACAGGACGTTCAATTCCTCTCTCTGTTTCCCGAAGAGTGATAGTGTCCTGCAACCGACACCTACCCCAGCTCTGCCTCTTTCCAGAGTGTTAGCTGGGAAACCGCAAAGTTCTACAGACACGATTAGCTTTTCATGCAGAATTTAATTGTCGAAGAATATAGATTCTATTGGCTTTTCAAAATTATTAACCAAAGTTCATTGGTTACTTATTTGTTCTTTTGCTCACACCTCATCTACCTCTTCACCTGGGCTTCTCCCACTACTCTGTGAGGTGTCTGGGGGAAGGAATTCTTCACGTATGTCTTTGCTTCTTTAGGGGATATGTCATAAAACAAAGGTTTAGATATGTCAGTCTGCCACTGTGTTTACTCAGCTTTATATATTCCAATTTGAAGATATAACTGCTTGACTTTATATATGTGAAGCAAACTTAGGTCAAGTTGAACACACTCAAAAGGCTATCTCAGACTCTGCCCTGACAATGCATGTCATGGCTACCATCCTGTCTTTCTCCGCTTTGTCTCTGCTGCCTAGTCACTGCCCTTACCCTCAGTTCCACCTCCCTCTTTCTCTTCTTTCCCCTTCTGTCTTTCCCTCTCTCCCCCACTTCCCCTCTCTTTTTTCCTAATCTAATGTCTAAATCCCCCTACTACGATTTAAAGTCTACAAAAACAGGCATGGAGCATGCTCGGGGTACCAGGACCTACGTCTGGTGACAGTTGCCACACAGTAAATGTTTACTGAGTTGCTAAACTCAACCTTCAACTTTGTGCTACCCAAATGGAGACAGACCAAGGAAAGAAACACAAATCAAAACTATTTCACTCATCTGACTTACCTGCAAAGAGTTTCTACAAGGTCTCTTTCAAGAAAATCATGGTCTTTTTTGACGGCCACAATGTTGATGGGGAACTGTGAATCTAAGAGAGAAAGGGGAGACTGAGCTTATTCCCTTCACAGTATGTGAACACATGCCAGTACACTTGGGCTGCCATGTTCTGCACGAATCCCCAACTTAACCACAGTTACAGCTTAGTACATAGCACACGATTTTATTTTTATCACAGAAAATGCTCTTGAGAGAATCATGTAAGTGCAAAATATGAAAACAAGCACCCAACCTTGGACATGATTAATCATTAAGTGCCCTTAGTGTCCATCTTTATCAGACACACCTCAGGTGGAGTTAGGGAGGGGTTTCAACATTTTCCCCATACACACAGCACAGGCCACAGACCGGCGATTTCATAGAACTCTCAGTTTGGCTGATTTTTTTTCCCTTCGCAAAGGACATTTCCAAAAATACCCCTATTTCAATGGTCTCAGATTTCCTCTTCCTTCCTTCCTCCTTCCTTTTCTGTTAGCAAAATTTTCAGTCATCTTGACGTCTCCCACTGATGCTACAAGAGAAGAGATGGCTGTTCCTCAGAAGAGGGCTCAAGCCAACTGGGAGGGTTCCTGCCAATATCAGAATGTGGCTTTAATTTTAGGTGCCTCTTTTACATAGGAAACCCTGTGGACATCACTTGGTATGACAGCCAAGATCAAATTTCATATCAGTTGACTGTGGCCGCCATGCCTTCCTATTTCATACTTCCATACCTTCCTAGTTGTAACGAAGCTAATGTTTCTAAACCTTCCTGTGTTGGAAGCAGATACTACCCCCATTCTGGGGGACACATCTTTGCCTCTTTAGAGCATGGGCCACACAGTAAAAAATGTAAACATTATCAGTTTGCTGACATACTTACTTGGCTTGACAAATTGCAAGTTGAAGACATAACCACTTGGTTTCATAAAAAAAAAAAAAAAAAAAAGGATCCAGTCAAGTTAGACGAACTCGAAGTATTTCACGGTAACTGAATCCTTCCTGGTCCCCAAAAGAACACCACCTCGCCCTCCTGGCAAGTGAGTGTATGTCGCAGTGAGAAGCACAGTTATAGGAGCCCAGTGTCTAGCTTTAAGTCCTGATTACTTCCTTGCTGTGCTGCTCTAGGCAATAACTTTTCCTCAACTGCACACTATCACAGTCATGATGGCTACTTCATGGTGGAAGTGTGAATACTGGTTTTTGACTAATAGCTGGCACAGAGAAAGCTCTGTCCTCATTGTGTTTCTGCAACATTCATGGATTAGACACAATCTGGCATGTGCATGTTTCTGAGCCAACATCGCATCTTAGATAATTATGGGCTGTGAACGCTTAAATCTCATAGTAGCTGTAGCATCTACATTATTATGTATACATCAAGAATCAAAAGGTTGGCATTTTTAGTTTTCGTCCTTCCACTTAAGGAGAGTGAGCTGTATTGCTGTTGTTTTTCTTTTGACACAAACCTAGATATGTTTGGGAAGAGGGGCTCTTAGTTGGGAAGATTCCTCCATTGTATTGGCCTGTAGGCAAATCTGTGCCGTATTAGCTTGACAAGTGATTGATGGAGGAGGGCCTCACTCACTGTGGGTGGTGTCACCCGGGCAGGTGGTCCTGGGTTCTATAAGAAAACTGGATGAGCACGCAAGCCATGGTGAGCAAGCCAGTAAGTGGCAACCCCTTCGTGGTCTCCTGCCTCCAGGTTCCTGCCTTGAGTTTCTGCTCTGACTTCCCTTAGTGATGGAACGTGACCTGAGAGTTATAATATGAAATAAACCCTTTCCTCCTTAGTTTGGCCATGGTGTTTGTCACAACAGAAACTCTAACTAGGACATTCTAGGCTTTCTCTTCCTGATTAGTAAATTGCTGGTAGAAAGGAGGAGTCGGGAAGGAGCTTAGACTTAAACTATAGGAATCTTTTCCATTTTTGGGGGGTCTAAAAGGCTCTCTATAAAACTTTTAAATCAGAGATTCTAAGCTTCAAACTACATTCCAATATTAACTCTCCTTTGTCTTCACAGAATTTAAATGAATGAAGTAGAAAAAATTTTTTTTACACAATATTGAGATTTTTAACTCAAGGACAGGAGTCATCTCTATGTAAAGATTAATTTTGTTGTCTCTTTCTATCCTACACAATGTGTGTCCCACTAGGAAGGGAAGCTGCCTTTTTTCATGTGCGAGGCACCCTCTCTTGAGCCCACAGACCCACGCTGCTGCCTTCCACTTTGCTTCATGCTTTGAGATCCACTGGGAGAGTGGATGGTCTCCAGAGAGACTTGTGCCATCTGCCTTCCTTTTGTGTTTGGTCAATCGGAAGCCATGGCTGAGACTCAAGGAGGTGTCCCTTGCCTCTGCCCATGGCCAGCTGTGTGTTCTCTCCAGGGGAATGTGAGCTTCTTCTTCCCTGGGCTCTGGCATCATTCCCCTGTAGTAGTGACAGCTTCAATTACTATAAGCCCTTGGCTCCTTCTTTGTGTATATCTTATCTACAACTTTGTAATAAATACCACTAGCTGTAATTTTCCACAGATGATCTGTGTGCCACCTGCGCACTCCTGAGACCTGACTGCTTTATAAGGATGATCCACAAAACAGAGACAATTTGATGATGAGCTTAGATATCAGTAAGACAGAAACGAGTGAAAGTGGTGGTTGAATGAGAATGGCCCCATAGGCTCGCTGTGTCTCATTGCTTGATCCCTAGTGGTAGAACAGTTTGGAGAAGTATTAGGGAGTGTGGCTTTGTTGGAGCAGGGGTGTCACGAAAGGTGGGCTTTGAGATTTCAAAAACCCACATCATTCCCAGTATTTACCCTTTCCTGCCTCTTGCTTGTGGATCAGATGTGAGCTTTCAGCTACTGCTCCAGCTCCGTGCCTGCCTGCCTGCTGGCTGCCATGCTTCCTGCCAAGATGGCCATGGACTCACCCTCTGAAACTGTAATCCCCAAATAAACTTTTTCTTCTATAAGTTGCCTTGGCTGTGCTGTTTTTACTACAGCAATAGAAAAGTAACTAAGACAGTGAATTTATTAACTATTAATTAAAGAATCAAGAACCCGAAGTACAATGCTGACAAGAAAAGCCACTTACCCAAAACTCAGAAGACTGAGATCTGGTCCATAGCATTTTATTTAAAATGTAAAATAAGCATGAATAAATAAGGGCTATCCCCAAACAACTAGTTTAGAGACGTCTAGGAAACTTACAATAAATTCATTGCAATCTCAGGGGAACTGAGCACAATAAGACAAAACAAGGAAGACCATGCTAATCTTCAAGGTGAGTTGTGGCAGACTCTGGAAAGAAATTGAGGAGCTGTGTGGGGATCTGCAGGGGGAAGAAGAAAGCGGAGTGGGAATGGGAGGGCGCTCATTTCCAGACAGGTCTGAATGAGCTTAGAGTTGTCAAGGGTGAGTGGGGAGGAAGGAAAGCCACGCGTGTCAGAGCAATGAAGCAGAAAGCACCAGGCAGGTCCTACACAGTTTGTCCTCAGTTTAATCTCTTTGTAGAGAGGAAGGGAAAGGCTCATATACCTTCATACAGCTGAGCATACTGCGGAAACCCGGCCGCACGCAGCCAGTCACATGCTTCTTTCGCCTCGATTTCTGAAACATACAAGAAAAAGAACTTTGTGAGTCCAACAGCCACACCCCCGTTTTGCTGGTGTGCTCCGTGACAGTCATTATGAGGCACAGCTGCTCCTGGGGAGTCTTGTGTAAGTTAGCCTACCCAGAAGGGAGGATGTACAGAATGTCCAGGCCACTGAGGCGCTTGCTGTGTCTGCTCAGATTATCTCCTCTGTGGAGCCATAGTTCGTGGGATGATAACCAACTACAGAGGGCAGACCACAAAGGCTGAATGTCCTGCAGGGAAAAATACCTTATTTAAGCACCAAGGAACTAGGTGATGAGGGAGGAGAAAGAGACTTATTATAATAATCATAATCCTCTTTTTAATGGGCCCTTTAAACCTTCCAAGATAAGCCCAAGATTATTTATTCAACCTTGCTTTACTCTTTCACTCAAGATAAAAAAAAAAAAAAAACAAAAACAAAAAAACAAAACACAAGGGCAGTCTATTTTCTCACGAATGAAGGCATTACAAAAATCCAGTTTCACCGATGGTTTTAATTCCCAACACATCACATGAAGATGTTCATTGGTCAAGCATATTGGAATGACTTCAAGGGGGAAGGATACTGAGACCCGAGTTTCATGGAGCTGCCAGAACTGAGAGGGCCACGCCCAAGAGGCTGGCCAGTCTCTGGGTGACCATTTGTGGGGTGGATCTACCAGCTGCCCATGCAAACAACCTCCCTGAGGGAATCTGTGGGGTGAGATGGGAGGAGTGACAGCATGTAAATCAGGTCATCCTCTGACCTTGTGAATGCTGGGTTATTTCACAACCACCATGCTGTTAGATAAACATCAGCCCCGGGAAAAGAAGTTCCTCTGTCAAGAGTTCAGGTTCTCCAAATAGAAGTAAAAAGCCCAGGGAAAGGTCCCTGCCAAGGCTCTCCTCAGCTGCTGGGATTCTCAGTCAACGTGTTTCCATCTCCCTGGGTGCTTGTTTTCCTCTGCAGTCCAAACTGCTAGGAGAGGCCTTTCTTGAACCCTTCACACACACACACACACACACACACACACACACACACACTACAGGGACAGGGACCATAGGCCCGAGACTGTGCCCTTTCCCAATAAAAGCTCAGCAGCTGTCCAGCATGTTTGACATGATGAAGCCATTTAATGTATATTAAAACAAACCAAAGGTCAGTTCTTAGTCTCTACATCTACAGATGCACAAAAGAAAAATCTTCAGGGAGGCAGAGCTTTGTTTAGCATCCCGCATCTGCTGCCACCCCAGGAAAGAAAACTTCCAAGTTCTGATTTTTGTAGTGTTGAGGGGTTTCTGCTAAGTCTCACCAGCATGGATTTCATATTCATGTCAAGTTTTCAGGCTGCATGTCTACCGCCTGCTTCAGGATGACACAGAGAGAAAGTAGCTGATCGGTTTCCAGACATGCTTTAAGCTCAGTTATGAGTTTGGTAAGAAATCACAGAATTCTGCATTTTCTAGTGAATCATACCAATTATGCATTTTGCTGTTTTATTTTTGTTTGTACTATGATCAAAACGTAGTTTTGAGCAAGAAAGTCCCAGATAGTCAGGAAATGGAGACATGGAAAGACCTAGAAGTAAGGTACTTTATAGCATTAGAAAACTCAGAGAGAAGGGGGAAGTCAGGGAAAACAGATGGCATTAAACAAACCCCTGAGACAAAAAATCATGACAAGATGTGGGGAAACTAGAGAGCCACCTGAGGAAACTGAGAACTGTGGTCAGGCATTGTGGGATGGGATAGAAGCTAGGCAGTACAATTTTACATAAGGTCTCCCCACTGGAAACACTGACAATGGAAACACTGACAATAAATTAAAATACCATGCACACACAAACACAAATCATCGAACCTTAGCCCTAACCTGTCTAAGTCAGTCACTCAAATAAGCTAATTTTTAAAAACCTCTTGTGCCAGATTTTTAGGTTTCAAACTCAAATCACAAATTGCAAGGAGTAAATAATAGTAAATTAGAAAATGCCAGTCATCAAGTCATGGTGTTTGGCTCTTTAGACCATGCCATACTCAATTGCTTTTCTATTTGCCTAAATGCCTACCAAATGCATACCCTGCTTTTGCACTCTCCAGTAAGATTCAGAAATAGGTTTTCCAACTGGAGGACTTGTTTGGCTTTAAGGACATGCAGAGCTTAAAATGAAAGGAGGGAAAGGGTTATGTGCGCTATGGTTTGGATGGGAAAGGAGCCTTATGGACTCATGTGTTTGGACATTTGGTCCCCACGTGGTAGAAGATGGGACCTAGCTGCAGGGGGTGGGTCATTGGGAGTGTGGGGATGGGCATTGAGGGTTAGATGTCAGCCTCCTTTCCAAAGAGCTCTGTGTTCCCCAGCCTGTCCAGAGATGAGGAAGCCCCTCCCTACCATGCTGAAGTATATCCCCAAAAACTGTGAAGCAAAGCAGATCCGCCCTTCAAATTCTTCCTTTCGGGTATTTATCACCACCATGAGAGAGGTAACTAATGTTAGGAAAGTGGAAAGTATAAGAGAACAGGAAGAGTTAAGTCTACTAAGAGACAAAGGTCATTATGCAGTGATAAAGGAATCAATCCATCTAGAGGACACAACAGCTATATATACACACCTAGTATTGGGGCACCTTAAGAGGCAAAGTGAGTATTCAGACAACAGAAGGAAAAAATGGCTGCTAGCCTACTGCCTGGACATCCCAGTTGAAGAGCAAAAGAAACTTACCAGCCCAAACCAGAATGACCTTGTATAATTACCACCACCAAATTTCTCTTTGACTTCGGCTAAGTTGGAAAGAGGCCTTAGAGTGTCTATGTCTCACCCACAACAGTCTCTTCTAACCCCTATCAGACAAATGCTGTTTCCCCAGGGCCTTTACAGTGGCCAGAATGCAGGAAAATTAGGAGGGAGTCATATTGCCAGTGTCATTTCCCAAAGATCTATCTAATGAGATTTAAATGACACTTGATGAGGAAAGCGTGGACATTTATATTTTAATGCACTCTCAGTAACCATCACTGTATTATACAAAAGCATTAAGAGGCATTAAAATCACATTTTGACTATTCTATTTGTTCTGCATTTGCAACCCTCACCTGCTCTTGTAGCAGCCGCAGGAATCCATCAATTCATTGCAGCTTCTGAAAACACAAGCTGTGGAGGTGGAGCCCAGGAATACCACTGGACCAAAGGGCCCAGAGATCTCCACCGAGGCTATTGTACTAGAGATGTCCCCCTTTACCTGCAGAGGCGTGGCCCAAGATTCCCGATGGATGGTGAAACCCTGTTTGTGGTCTAAACCCATTATATGCCATGATTTTTGATTTGATAACTGAGATGGCTTCCAAGTGACTATCAAGCAGGTGACACATACGGTGTGGGCAGTCAAGACAAAAGGGCAATTCCTATCCTCAGTTGTGATACAGTGGGACCCTGTGGGACTGTGCAAGATTTCACCACGCTCCCAAAACCCACGAGTTATCCCTGTCTTATTTATTTATTTATTTATTTATTTATTTATTTATGTTCAATGTTTTCTGAGGTAGACTTCAAGTACCTGGAGTTACGGAAAGGGAAGTTGAGTTGTAATCCATTTGGCTGACTATTCTGACAGGACTTCTGCAGAACTGAGGAAGGAATTTGTGTGTGTGTGTGTGTGTGTGTCTGTGTGTGTGTGTGTGTGTGTGTGTCTGTGTGTGTGTGTGTGTGTGTGTATGTCCCAATGTGGGTGTGTGTGTAGATGCCCATGCACGAGTGTGAGAGTGTGGGGGCCTGAAGTTGACCTTCCTTATTGTTGTCCCCCTTGTTGCTTGAGACTGAACTGAGAGCTCAGCATTCAGCTAGACTACTTGGCTAGCCAGCCAGCTCTGGGAATTCCTGCCTCCACTGTCTCAGTGTTGGGGTTATAGGCAGGTATGTACCATGGAGACTATGTCCTGGGGATCAAACGAAGGACAGCATCTTGCATGGCAAGTGCTTGCCCAATGGAGCCCTCTTCACAGCCCCTCCCATATCAGTTTTGTAACGAGTCCACATAATGAGTCATTTGGCTTATTTTGCCCAACATTCTTTTGTTGGGTGCCCAAAACCCTATGCACACTATGAATCCAGGACACACCAAGATCCCTCATCAGATAATGGAGAGGGCTGCTAAGCGGATAAAAGACAGACAACACACACAGTCTGGGCACAACGGACAGAAGGATGACTCAGCATGGTGTAGTTCTAATCACAGGACCTCTTTACCTGAGGGACCTTTTCTGATTGGTTTAAGGGAGGCTGGCCATCCTGATTCGCAACTCCACACCACCCATGTGTTCCTGAACAGTCTCCTTCTCCCACACTGTAGACTGAGGAGCCCTAGGCTCTCACATCAACTGCATTTGGGGCTGAAAACAACTTGTGTTTCAGTGGCTTATGCAACAAGTTCAGTAGGTGTCTGATTGGGGTTGAATACTCTGTGTTTTTGTTGTTGTTGTTGTTGCTTGTTTTTAATTAGTTAATTATATCTTATGTGCATTGGTGTTTTGCCTCCATGTATGTCTATGGAGTGTGTTGGATTTCTCTGGAACTGGAGTTACAGACATTTGTGATTTGCCATGTGGTTGCTGGGAATTGAACCCAGGCCCTCTGAAAGATCAGCCAGTGTTCTTAACTGTCTCTCCAGCCTCAGGCACTCTTTTTTGAGACCCCTGATTCCAACTTGATAGGAAGTCACAGGTGTTGCCTCAGATGTCTTCTCTTTACCTGGGTACCAGTTTGGCTGTGCTCAGTGTGACTCCTCACCTAATCCACAGCCAGTTGCTTAGAATATGACAGAAAATCTGTTCAGGGACAGACCTAGTGGGGTGGGGGATGGGGACTACGGGGGAAGGCTGTATGTTCCTATGGGATTGAGAATAAAGGCACCGTAAACACAAACCCTGGCTAGTGGCATGACTTTACAAAATCATACCGTGTTTCAGTTCAGCTTGAAAAACCAAAAAAAAAAAAAATTAT